TTCAACTTGTAAAAATCAAGGCCAAGCACTCAAGGACAAGTAAAACGTAAAAAGCCTTTATTTTCTCATGGCTATATAAAGTTAAAAACAACACCTTTGACCGCACACATTTTTGTGTAATGAACTGTTCACCAAGTTCATTTTTGTGCACCTAATTAATATTCATGAGCCAGCCCATTTCACAGTGCCACAACCTGCACATTTGTACTACTTAATTTTAAAATAAAATAAAGACCCATGGTCAAAACATATTGGCTATGCATGAAGAAAACCACATTAAAGTACATTAGAGCACCAGTAAACCAAACAATAGACCAATTTGGAGTAGACGTCACAGTTACGTCACTTGCAGCTGCGCGCGCATTGTGGTGGCAGAAAAACACTGGGAACAATTGGAGGGAAGCGGGTAAAATCCATGGAATAAGAGAAAAAAATGATTGTTGTGCCTTTGGATGTCAGAATCGGAATGCAAAAGATCGTCAAAGATGCCATTTGAAGCTAAGCACAGATGTTTAAACGGAGAGACTATGGATGAAACCTGCTATGATTACCCTATTTTAAAGCATAAATTTGATTTAAACAATAGGTCTATATAATATTCATATAGGGAACATATTGTATTAGCCCTACAGTTGAAATACATGCATGAAATACTATTTAAACCTATAACATTTTACATAACATTTACCTATTTTATCTCACAATTCTGACTTTTTTTTCTTGCTAATGCAAGTTTATATCTCCTAGTTTGGACTTTATAACTTGATTCAAGCCAACAACTGCGAGTTTGTCCATTCTGAGGGGAAAAAGCCAGAAGTGTGGGATTATAAACTAAAAAGAAAGAATGACGAGTTGATTTTTCTTACCAGAATTGTGAGATATAAAAAAAGTCCGCATTTTGAAATATAAACTCAAAATTACATTTTTTATTCTTTTATTCCATGGCTTGAATAGACTGCTACGTTAAAACTGTCATTTTCTGCCACCATATAGGCTCTGCCCACAAAAACCGTCATCACTGTTTGCAAACACTGAAATTGGTCTATAGCTCTCCAATCATTATTTTCATGGCAAATGAAACTTGCAATTAAACACTGAAGCTTTTTATCTATTTCCTTATTTTGAGATCTCAAGAACCAGCAGTAAAACAAGTATATGATCGAATAATATTCTTTCAGAAACTTCTGCAAGTGCCCATTTTAGGAGAAGATGAGCCTGTGGGCATGCAGCGGGACACACTTGAGTGGAGGAAAGTCATCACAGCACCCTTTGCTCCTTGTTTTAATTACACACAACAAACAGCATAGATGTTTCCTAATAAGATGGAGTCAGAGAAGGTCTCATTACCAGTTATGAAGAAAAAAAAGGAGGGCGGGAGAAAGTGGGAGAGCTTTCATAAGCAAAAGAGAGGATTTCTTATGCATACAGAGGAAGTGAGTACAATAAACAGGCAGTAAAATTAGTTGGCATGAGAAGTGTTGTGCTTAGAGTATTTGTTCAGTGCAGAACCAGGGGTAATACATTTTTAGGAGATCATCTCAGAGTATTAATTGATCGACATCATATTTTCATCTGATTCAAAGGCCATACAGTGGATCCAAAAAGTATTTGGAAACCTAAAGGCACAATTCATCCAAAAAAGAAATTCTGTAATTTATTTTAAAGAAGGTCTCGGCTCTCTCACTCTCTCTTTTTTTTTTTGGTCCGTAAAGTGCAAGTCAATAAGATTTCGTGTTATTTCGGACCCCACTGACTTTCATAATACACTGTAAAAAAAGATTTTCATACTTAAAAAAAAAAAAAAATAAAGATTACTGGAGCACATTTTACAAGAAAAAGCTATTTCAGTCTTTCAACTTCAAAATGTCACATTTGATTCAATGTGTTACTTGCCATGTCTTTGTAATTGTGAAATTTTTGAGTGAGAAATAGTTTCAAAGTCGGTGCTATAACCAACTTTTTTTTCAGTGTATGGACACATTATCTTGTTTCATTTACAATAATATATTCTATTAACGTTTGACAACTAGAAAACGTCCAAATATTTTTATTACATTTTTAAAAGTGAATTAAGTCTCCAAGTACTTGTATTATTCAATATTCGACTAACTGTAATAACTAAGTGCTTAAAGATCAAATGCATTCTGCTGTCTAAGTTCTATATATAAGATGCTATAATTGTCATGCAATCACTTATTTTGCCCAGGTTTGGATATTGTTTTTCCAGTAAGTACTTTTCAAAGGAGCTGCATTCTTGTGATCTGAATCAACACTTGAGACACTGGAGAACAAGTGTGTTCGCTGTGCATCAGCATTAATCTTGCTAATCTTGTTTGATCTTCACATTTGCATTAAGCATCTTCTTACAGCATTACCACTTAGCAGCGATTTATTCTTCCCTACAATCAAAGGCCTCGTATTTATCAGGCATGTTTTTCAAAGTCAGTTAATTTTGGACATTTACATAGTAAAATTAATCCCTTGGCAAGTTCGCAACCGTTTTGTGCTGCAGGTGCATATCAGTTACAAATAAGATATAGATGCTAAGAAGTTAGAAGTTGTAGAAAGAAAAAATTGTCTATTTAAAACACTAGTTTAGATCTTGATAGGTGACGCAATGATTTTCTCTGAGCACATCTGTGACAGTTTTCAGCTTTCATTTCACGAGGGAAGAACAGAATCTCACTCTGCAGGTGCGAAGCGTTTGTCTTTATAAAGCATAAGAGCAGCAGCTCTGTGATGCAGATGTCCTGCAGTCTCACAGAGCAACACTGCCCTCCACTGACAGAATGCTACATTCTAGCTGGGAGACTTTATTCACATTCACTACAAATCAGGTATACATATTAGATATTGTGGTGAAAGGTCAAATGGTTGTCAATAACGTGTCCAGGTCCTATTTCATCCTTAAAGTAAAATTATAAGGCATATTGTATGAGCATATATAGCCTACCATTCAAACGTTTGAGGTCGGTAAGATTTTGAATGTTATTGAACAACAAATCCCGCACACTATGCAAAAAATATCAATTTTACTGACTAATATATATATATATATATATATATATATATATATATATATATATATATATATATATATATATATGCTGCTTTGTTTGTGGAAACCATGATTCTTTTTTTTTTTTTTCAGGATTCTTTGAGTTGAAAATTCTGAATAAAATATTACATAGAAATCTTTTGTTACACTATAAATGTAATTTTTGATCAATTTAACGTGCCCTTCTGTATTAAGTATTAATTTCTTATATTTAATGGCAATTATGGCAAATCTTATTCTCATTACTGTAATGCAATCGATCAATCAATAGGGAAAATATTCACAATATACATAGTATTTATGGCATATGATAGTATTTGCTGTACTGCCTTTACACAGATTGAAATTAAACTAGAGAATAATGGGAACAAAATAAAAGAAAAAGTAGTTACATTTAAAGAAGATTTTCTAGACGCATTACAGTATTGAGAATTTGGAGTGAAAATGTTCTTAAAGGGTTACTCCACCCCAAAATGAAAATGTTGTCGTCAATCACTTACCCCCATGTCGTTCCAAACCTGTAAAAGCTTAGTTCTGCATTACAGTATTGAGAATTTGGAGTGAAAATGTTCTTAAAGGGTTACTCCACCCCAAAATGAAAATGTTGTCGTTAATCACTTACCCCCATGTCGTTCCAAACCTGTAAAAGCTTAGTTCGTCTTCGGAACACATTTTAAGATATTTTGGATGAAAACCGGGAGGCTTGTGACTGTCCGATTGACTGCCAAGTAAATAATACTGTCAAGGCCCAGAAAAGTATGAAAGACATCGTCAAAATAGTCCATCTGCCATCAGTGGTTCAATCTGAATTTCATGAAGCGACGTGAATACTTTTTGTACGTGAAGAAAACAAAAATAACTTTATTCAACAATACTGCACGGATGCTCTGTTTTCGTTCAAATCAAAGCGTAAATACACGTAGAAAACGTATCATTGTGTCGCGGCAGACACAGAAGAGCGTACGCTGCTTGCGTTCAGTGGATATTCTCCAAAATGGCGCTACAGTGATGCGGAGAGACATTGAGGACACTAATTGTTGAATAAAGTTATTTTTTTCTTCGTGTACAAAAAGTATTCTCGTCGCTTCATGAAATTCAGATTGAACCAATGAAGGCAGATGGACTATTCTGACGATGCTTTTCATACTTTTCTGGGCCTTGACAGTATTATTTACTTGGCAGTCATTGGGACAGTCATAAGCCTCCCGGTTTTCATCCAAAATATCTTAAATTGTGTTCTGAAGACGAACGAAGCTTTTACGGGTTTGGAACGACATGGGGGTCAGTGATTAATGACAACATTTTCATTTTGGGGTGGAGTATCCCTTTAACCAATACCAAAATCTTAAAGGTTTTTTTTTGTGAAATGTGAACTTTTCTTGAGATTACTGATGGCTTTGGTGGCTTTCATTTTGTATTTTGTTGCAACCAAATGCCTGGAGGAGTTCAGTATTTCACAACAGTGTTAACAAATAACAGAAACCAAAAAGTGTTGTTATATGGAGTAATGTTTATTGCTGATTAGAAGTTGAATATATATTTATATATACAGTTGCATACATTGTAAAACAAAATATCCCATATCATGGAATATGAGATGATGAATGAATGAATGAATGAATGAATGAATGAATGTCTCCAGACTCGCAGTGGTAATGAACTGTATCTTAAACACTGCTGATTGTCTCCGTGGCACCATCTAATACTGCAACTCAATGATAATGCTGTGGAATTGCATCTCTACACCTATTTTCAGGATCTGGACTACAATTAAGCACTGATGTTTTTTTAATCAACATTACGTTATGTCGCCGAGCTGTTGAAAGTCTTGCATTTCTAAATAGATCAAATTCATTAACGTATATTCAAAAAGGGGGCAATAGAAAACGTATTATGTGGAATAGAGACAGTTCATGCACTTTCTGTGGAACGTAAAAGATGATATTGTGATAAATATTGGTAACCAAACAGTTTTGGTTCCCAATGGATTGCAGTCATTTTTGTCCTGCAAGTTCAACGGGAGCAGAAACTATTTGATTAACAACATTTTCTTTTGCCTTCCAAAGTAAAAAGCAAGTTTGGAACAACATTAGAGTGAGTAAATTATGACAGAATTTACATCTCTGGATGGACTATCCCTTTAAGTCCCTCATGATCGTAAACAAAATAAAAAAAACTAAAAGAAAAAAGTAATAGCAGCAAGTGAACACCATCATCAATCTAACTTGAAAACCAAAACAAAAATGTAAATTAACAGCTGCAGATTCTGTAAAAGTGCCTTTCATTTCTGAAGCAGTACATTTTACAGTACTAGTAAAGATCTATGACTTGCATTGATGTGCAATTTTTACTGTTTTCGTACTGCTTTTAAAGAAACATTGTATGCTTGATTCCCAGCAATAGTACAATGATCATAGTCGCAGATGCTCTACTGTAATGTAGTACATCATAGCCTCTATGATGAATCATGTGTTGAGATGGATGCCTAAACTGGCGCGTTTCCTCCTGGCACGAGATTCGTCATCAATCTAAAACATTAAGCCGAGCTATTCCTGCAGAACCATCTGTAGCTGCCTTACAATACGGTGAAAGTAAAGATGACCATGAAGCCAGTGACCCCACGTGTGTGTTAATATTCTAGACTCGGCCGAAGAGTGGAAACGGATTGGGGAAGTTGCGTTCAACCACATTCGCATACATCCAACCAACAGCGCAACTCCAGTTTTCCCTTTTCATCAAGTTTTATTAGAGCTACAGTAGATGGGATGGTCCGGTTCACATGGCTGAACCTTGAGCCCCTTGGCTCTGAGTGTCCCGTTTCAGGCAGTCCTCCGTCACGCCCTGCGACGCCAGTTCTGAGAGCACATTGTCAAGGTAGTTGGGGTCGGGGTAGCCGTGGCCGGAGACGTTGGACATCATCTCCGTCTTGTGGTGGATCTCGTTCCATATGACGGTGTCTGGCTCCCCTGTGGTGCTGGAAGTGCCCACGGTGAAGATGAGGCGCCGTGTCCACGCCACTTTCAGCAGCTCCAGCACCTGGAGACGGTTGGAGATGATCAGGACCCTCAGTTTTAAAGTAAACACAGTTTGCGGTTTGCTTTGAGAGGGAAACGCAAACCTGAGCACCGTGCAATGATCAACATTAAACATGAATGCTGGTCGTGAGCCAATACATACGGCATTTCTTCTGTTACTTCGCTCCAGTATGGAATGATTTATTTTTCTTGCAAGAGAAATCACATGCTGTTAAAACTCACATGGATCTTAATGAACTCGGTTAAAGGTTACAAAAACAAGAAATTATATTCTGTGGTTATCGGCAATCGATAAATGCTGGAGTTGAAACATTCTTTTAAAGGTTCAACCTTGTATAAGGTTAGGACGCTCTGATGGAATTGGAGGACTTTAGGGAATTTCAGACAAAGTTTTACGGACAAAACTAGCTCACAACTATTACAGGGCTGAGTATCAAAGATGGGTCAGTGATTTTTGATTGTGTATTTGCAATTTTTAGACCTAGTAAACGTAAAAGCATCGTTCACTCAAAAATTAAAATTCTGTCGTCGTAAACCCTTAAGACTTCCGTTTATCTTTGGAACACAAATGAAGATATTTTTGATAATCTCTCATCACTTGTGTTCACTTGCTAAGTATTTCTTATAATAACTATAATTTGGGAGTCATTTATGCAAATTTTCTTTGTATAGAAGAGTTAACATTTGATGAAAAAAAAATGTGTATATGTGAAAAATGTATATAAAATGTTTTTACATTTTGTAATTTAAAAAAAAAAAACAAATCTTAAGTAATAAACAAAAATTATACATTTCTAATTAGAGATTTAAAATTATAATTGTAAATAAATTAGAAATGTAAAATCTTAAAACGTAAAATATATGTGTATGTGTATATATATTAGTGCTGTCAAATGATTAATCGCATCCAAAATAAAAGTATTTGTTTACATAATACATGCATGTGTACTGTGTTTATTTATTATGTATCTATAAATACACACACATACAGTATATATTTTGAAAATATTTCCATGTATATACATTTATATTATATTTTATATTATTTAAAAATATATTTAATATATAAACATAACATATTGGTCTTAAATATATACACATGCATGTGTTTGTATTTATATATACATAATAAATATACACAGTACACACTCATGTAAACTAAAAATTTATTTTGGATGTGATTAATCACAGTTAATTGTTTGACAGCACTAATATATATATATTTATTTATTTTTTAAATTAATTTATTATTTTATTTCTTTATTTATTTTTAATTTCTCCATATAGATAAAGCATCAGTTTCAGATATTTCACATGAATTTCCCTACAGTGACCAACAGAAAAGCTGATTTGGAAGTGACTTCTGTGTGAGTGGTGCTTTGTTCATCAATACACTTTTGACAATTGGACCATGGACCTTTTTTATGTGACCGCACCTTTAGTTATGTGCACTAAGCATTCAAATGTACATCTCTAGCAGCTGGCCATTTATTTTATTTGTATTTTTTTAAAACTAGTAGTAGCCTGCTATATTTTTACACGCAATGACATTTTAAAGGCATGTTGGTGTCAGCGTGTAGCACCAAAAGCCAATGCTTGTGTGAGTAACACGTAGTCCTGGAACAGTTGATTCAGCAACTGAACGGTAGTGATTCAATATTTTGACAAATGAGCATGGCATAAATCTGTACTTGAATTGGGTCAATTCCCTCCATTACCTTTCTTCCTTTGTCATTGTCAGGAAGGAAACAGAAGCGAGGGAATCCTCTGCACGTATACGGCTGCCCTGGGTTTGGGTGCTCAGGACCCTGCAGACAAAGAGTGCATTAAGATGATGAGTGCTTAGTGCGGGCCGAGGCAAGGACAAAACCATTTCCACACAAAGGAATGAGTCAGTTATGCCCTTAACAAACGCAGTCTGCTGGATGAAAACATTTGGCTGGTTCATACAGACCTCCAGCACTTCGTTCAGTTTATTAATTTAGCCTACCTCTTCTGAAGAGATTATTGTTAAGAATATGCTTAAATCATGGTGTAAATAAATATAAAACAGTACAGAGCACTACATCAGCTTGTCAAGTCAGACCTGTATTCCGGGCGGGATGTTGTAAATGATTTGTATAGTGCCACAGTCTGGGTGTCCAGGCAAAGACTGAGGGATACTGTAAATCTCCATCTTGCCCTTGGGTTGGGTGCCGGTCTTCTCTCCATAGATTGTCTTACATGAGGGGCACTGAAGACTCCCATCCTGTGGTGTAACAAAAGTGGGAGAAAATAAAAGGAATAGTTTACATGAAAATATTTGGAACTAATATGATTTTTTGTAATTGCATGCACCCATTGTCACTGCTGGAGTAATTCTAAAAGTGCATTACACACACTGACGTTCAAACATTTGGTGGTCAGGAAGATTTTTTTGTCTTGTTTTTGAAAGAAATTAAAACGTTTATTTGACAAGGACTGATTGACTGATTCACGGTCACTATTAAATTAACCAAGTGACAGCAAAGACGTTTATAATGTTACAAAAGATTTCGATTTTAAATAAATGCCGTTCTTTTGAAATCTCTGTTCATCAAACAATCCTAAACACTGTCACTGTTTTCACAAAATAGTAAGTAGAACAACTGTTTTCAACATTAATAATAAGAACAAATGTTTCTTGAGCAGCAAATCAGCATATGAGAACTGAAGACTGGAGTAATGGAATAGAAATTTGTAATAAAATCTAATATTACTGTATTTTTTGTCAAATAAATATGGCCATAGTAAGCCTAAGAGACTGCTTTCAAAAAACCTCTGGCTTTTGAACGGTATTGTATATTGAAATACTTTTAAAGGTATACTTCATCCAAAAACGTCCAATTTTGTCATCATTTACTCCAAGCTCACATTCCATATCCATTTTTGATTATTAACAGTATACCAATCTGTAACGATTCCTGGAGCTACCCTCCAATAGTATAATATACAACTAAGAGAACTGATTTATTTGTTTAGCTCCCAGATCCGTGTCAGTTACAAGTGTTGGAAAGGAAATGCACACCTTGGTTCCATTGTTGTACATGGCCAGCATGCAGAGCATGTGGAAAGTGTGACCACATTTTGTGAGTTTGCCCACGGTGTTGGGCTGAAGAGACTGAGAGCACTCAGTTGGGACCTCATAACCAGACAGGCAGGACAGGCGCTCCATACAGATAATACAGTCCTGAAAGCACACAGCCAGATGTCACATATCTCACAGGGCAAGGCATGGGTAATATTTCCAGAAGAGGCATTAAACGTACGGGTGAATGGCATAAAAATATGTACAGGTCATGTTGTATTTTAGGACCATTAAGATTTTTTGCATTGTTACGTAGGAAAAACTGCATAATAGTCAGGAAAATAAATGTAAAAATTGTCATTATTTTCTTTAAGCAAAATGTTTCATTCCATTTAATCATGGTGTAAAATATGACCTGTAAAATTAACCCATCTATGCTAGTACAAAAAGTGTTATTGGACTGTGAACTTTAAATATACCTCATCTGGGACCACAGGCACTTCCTCCATGTATTTCTTAATGACTTCTTCTGGTTTCTGAGCTGGTGCTAAGAACATAAGACAGACCGTAACCTACACGAGTCCAATAACTGGCACTCAAAATCAAATGTTATGACATGATTACATTTTGTTAAAGACACCTTGAAAGCTTAAATTGCATTGTTGTGGCTTGTAGAGCCATATGTATCTGTCAGCTAGGCTGTGTGATCGGTTGTACTACACAGATTTTTGGCCAATCAAATGAATCCTTCCTCATAATACCACCTATAAGAAACAAATCATTGTACATGGCTGTGACTCATCAATTGGATGTATTATTAATATTTTTTAAATAATCAGTATGTCCCACCAAAAGTTTCAAGTTTCAAGCCATTTTGTGGGTTATTTAACATCCAAGTATCTTCCCTTTATAATATGAAGTGCTCTCTAAATTTCTCCATTTTTAAATATAAATATATAATTATTCATAGTTATAAACACTTTAATCTGCATCTTTAATGCAGAACGCTGTGTTTGTTTTGGTTACTAAATGACCAAATACGTTATGGAAATGTGTTTTGGTGGGAAGCAGTGAGACATGCTATGACATCTGCTTCCAGCGTATTTCCAAGGAACAACCACCAAATACCTAAGGCAATAATGTTTGCTCTAGACTTCCTGAATCAGAGTTTGCTCTAATGAGAGCATTTTTATGCATTACTGTACACGGATTATAAGATGACACATATAAGCTCATGTAAACACAAGCTTATTTGAATTTTGCCCAAGAAAACTTTAAGCAAAACCAATTAAAAACTCTTTATTTTTTGCACATCAATCCCTAAGGGGATAAAGTGATGGAGGGAAAAAATGTGAGATGGGAGGAAAAATAATATTTGAATGCTTTTATGACACCCCACCACCCCATGCAGCATCAGGTTTACCAAGTTAACTGGTAACTTTACAATAAGTTTCAATTTGTCAACATCAGTTAAACATGCATTTATTAATCATAGTTAATATTAATTTCAGCATTTTCTAATACATCATTAAAATGTATAGCTGGTAATATTATTTAATGGACATGACTTGACATGAATTAACAATAAACAGTTGCATTTATAAAATACAAATACAAATTAATGTTAAATACTGTAACAACTGAATTGTTTTTTTGATAGTTAATCAGTTAACTAACGGTAACTAATGGAACCTTATTTTAAAGCGTTATCAGTTAAATTTATAGATCTTAGCAAATTAAATTTGTAAAATAGATATTTTGTTCTTAGGAAAATAAGAACATAGCATTACAAATAAATACTTTATAATTAAACATACTACTACTAATAATAATAAACCATTTGCTAAATAACAGTTTATTAGTGTAGGAACTTAAATAATGTGACTTAAATCGTTTAAATAATGTGCATATATCAGCCATTTTACAGAAACTTTGAAGGTGGCTCATCCAATCAGAATTTAGAGTCAGAAATATCTGTTATATGGCTTTTCTTAAAGGAATAGTTCACCCAAACTCACACTCATGTCTTTCCAATCCTGTGTAAGTTTCTTTCTGATGTTAAAGGGGTCATATGATGCTGCTAAAAAGAACATTATTTGGTGTATTTGGTGTAATGAAAAGTGTTTATGCAGTTTAAAGTAAAAAAAACACATTATTTTCCACATACTGTACATTACTGTTTCTCCTCTATGCCCCGCCTTTTTGAAACGCATCGATTTTTACAAAACTCATCGGTCTGAAAAAGCGAGGTGTGCTGTGATTGGCCAGCTATCCAGTGTGTTGTGATTGGCTGAATACCTCAAGCGTGTGACGAATAGGTTCCGCCCCTCACATACTGTTGATGCCGTGTCCCGGCCGGAGCAACGAGACAAAAACATTAAAACCCATTACAAACGAGGCATTTGTTGCATCCAGTGGGGACATAATTACTGATTATAATGACTTATACTGTCTTTTTATGCGTTGCGTTGCGTTGATGCCGGGATAGAGTGAGCTGAGGCCGGGCTAGCATGACCGGCTTAGTGTGTGCGCTGAGGCTGGGCTAGAGTGAGCTGAGACGGCGGGGTCGAGAACGGCGCGCCCGGCGGATCCGACGAATGAGCGGCAACCACATGTGACGGACCCCGGGCTGGATTCCGCTTCGTCCACGGTGAAAGTTTATGTATTCCCTCAGCGACCAGCACAGATCAGCTCTAGGCATGACGAAGCAGATATCGTCCTCTTTTGGAAGACCAAACAAAGTAGTTTCGCTTTCACAACGAAGCACACAGCGTCTTCACGACATGGCTGCAGCAGCCACAATACTACAGTGAGACTAAAAGTTACGCCTTCTTTCTTTGCGTGAACATTTGGGCAGCGTTATGCAAATCTTCCCACATAGTGAGGTAGATATGTGGGGGCGTGTTAGAACGAGCCGTTTTAGGTAGGCGTGGCTGACTCTTAACTTTTATAAAGAATATCTCTTTGGATTTGAGACTTTACAGATCTTCTTTATGCACCAAGAGCTTGTGACACTCCAAAAAGAAAGGAAAAATTTAAATATCATCATATGACCCCTTTAAACACAAAAGACGATATTTTGAAGAATTGTTTGTCCCCATTGACTTCCATGGTAGGGAAAGAAATACTATAAAAGTCGATGGGGACCATTAACTGCTTGATTACCAGCATTCCTCAAAATATATTCTTTTATGTTCAACATAAGAAAGAAACTCATACAGGTTTGAAGCGTCATCAGGGAGAGTAAATGATGACAAAATTTTCATTTCTGGTGAACTATTCCTTTAAACAGTCCATTTTTGATACTCATCAGCCTTTGGCATACCATATCAAAGCAGACACTGTTCAGATTACACATCCCGGTGTTAAGTTTTTAGAGTTGTCAGACAACAGAAAATGTGTTTAGGATGTTTTATTAAGCTGAAATTAAAGCAGTAAACTAACATTGCTTGTGAGTGTCAGTCTGAACCTAATATCCATCTTCTGTATTAAAGACATTAAAATAAATGGCATTAACAACAACACAGGTTATGTAGGGTTAGAGGGAAAGAAAAAACAGACCAGCAAACAATTGTTATTCCATAAACCCCCCCAGCAGACATCTGTCTGCAGAGTCCCACAGGTGAGCAGGCAGGTGTCAAGTGATGCATTCATTATGTGATCGTGAAGATGGAAGCAAGACAGCGTGACCATGACAGCATTAACATGAAAAGGGTGAAAACATGGCAGCCGAAGCAAGCGATAAACAGCAAAACATAAACATCTTGCAATGGCCAGAAGGAGCATGTCAGAATGAAGCTGAAGTACCAAACCCCTTAAGGAAAATATAAACGGACAGTAGAATGGTAAGAAAAACAGCAATTTAAAAAAGGACAGGAGCGGCAGCAGTTTGCAGGCCAGCGGACGGCAGGTTTGGTCGAGCTGGTTGGCGGTGCTTAACTACCTGTCCTGGACTGTCTCTTTGCCCTCTTAACGGAGTTGGGCTGGCTTTTGGTGGGCCTGCTGGAGCCACTCTGGGAGAAGGGGGCGGTCAAGAAGCGAACTCCCAGTCCTGCAGCTGACATCAAAATGGAAGCCATGCCTGGAACGGCCGGAGGCCATGTGGAGACATGCAGGAGGAAGGGAGGAGGAGGAGGAGGAGGAGTGAAGGAAAGGAAGAGTAATGAGCCAAGAGTGGAGAAGCCAACCACAAGTGAGGCATGCTCTGATGAGGACAAGAAAAGTTTAGGGTCCTACTTACTGCAGAGGAAACAATATCAGTCCAACTATAGATGCGGTCTACAATCCCACCTGCTCTTGATATTTATCTAGGACTAAATACGTTAAATGCAATACACAGAATCCAATGCGCTTCAGAGACTAACTGTGATTCGATCATTCAAACCACCTTCAGAGGAAAAACGGGTCTCTTTTGGCTGACTATTTGCATAAAGTCTGGTCCACGTTGACAGGAAGAGACCATTTGATTGACATGTAAAAGTTACCAACCACAAATCAAGCTGCTTTTAAGTGACATTTAGAAAATTTGAAATCCATTACACCATAATAACAGACCAGCATGAAAAGTGTATGCTTCCTGATGCATCACAAACAACATTAAAACAGCACAGGGTTTTAAACTTGTGTCTTTAAATGCACCAACACATTTGGAAAAACCTGAACATAGCCATTACATATTTAAGAGAGCAAGACTTCTGAAGTTTAACTATTTTGTCTTGAGACCCATGTTGGGGTCAGAGGGACCCAAATTAGTGTAATTATGCAGTACATTAAAGGGGTCCTATTATGCTCTTTTACAAAGTCTTGATCTTGTTTTGGGGGTGTACTAGAACATGCTCTCATGCTTGGTGGTTCGAAAAACGCATCATTTTTCACAATTTACAATATTACCATACCTTTCTCCCCAGCCTGGCACAAACGGCTCGATTAGTTCCGGGTTTGATGAAGGCCCACCTTCCGAAAAACGAAATGTGTTGTGATTGGTTAGCTGTCCTAGTGTGTTGTGACTGGCGAACAGCTTAGACGGTGTTTCAGTACTGCCCCGCCCCTTGCCAAAGCAGCAAGTTCTGTCTGCTCCGGTATAGTTAAGGATGGCGTCGATGTTGCCATGTCAATTTGAGTCGGATTCAGACCCCGAGAATATTGAACAAGATAATAGCGCAGAACCTTTGCACGGATATTGCAAGACATATTAGAGTGGTATATATACATATCTATGGTGGTAACATTATTGTTGTTTTGTTTTAGTTTTTTTGCTAAATCACGTTTTAGATAGGATGTCAACAACCGCTAAGAAATAACTGCATTTACTATGTACAGATAAGTGCAACGGTAATATGTATTATGTTTATTGTTCTTTAATTCTAACATTATAACATGAATTGCAGTGAAACTGTTATACAGTTGAATTTATTAATACCATAGTCCAGTGTTTTCCACAGACTTGCACTCTATTTGTGGCTGCATATATATGCAAATTCATTCTCTGCCAGCAGAAGATGCTGTTGGAGTGGTAGATATCTAGGTTTCCTTGGTAACCGCTGTACACAAAAGCAGCTCTCCGCTCACAAACGCTGCTTTATCAGACATTACATGCAAGAAGAAATGAAAATGACATCCAAAATTCTCAGAAGACAGTTGGTTTCCTTCAGAAATACAGTGATATAAAAACACCCGCACCGGGTTTCGATTTTGAAACGTGCAGTGCTCATGTTTATTCAACGAAGTCAAAGCTTTTTGGAAAATCTATTTTTGGTGGTCAGTTTTGATATTGTGGCGGGCAATGTATGGGAAACACTGTAGTTTCATAGTTGATGTGTAAATTCTTCAGATTACATCATTGTCCAGTATTGTACTGTCAGCAATTTATAAAAACGTTTTCATAATTGTAACAGACATATTTACATACATAATTATTCAGGTGCATGTGTAATAACTTGCGAAAACTTGACGCTACAGCAGCACTTCTTCTTCGTCGTTGTCTTCTTGTTTGATGCACTCAACCAAGCGTTCTAACCATGACCTCGCCCCTCCCCACCCCCCAACCATTCAAATTTCCATAGGCGGGAATTATTTTAATGATATTCTAATGAGCCACTTTGTGCCATCACAAAACCCGGAAAACAATGCTGTAGTCCAAACGAGCCGTTTGTTGTAGTTCTTGAAAAGGGATTTTTTTTTTTTTACGAAATATCTCCCATTGGAGTGGACTTTGAGATTTGTAACTTTGTAGATCTTTTTTATGCCCAAACATACACACTACACAACAACTAAAATTCAAAAAGTGAAAAAGTGAAAAAGCATAATAGGACCCCTTTAAGACGATTAGCCATTCAAGCAATCCACAATTTAGGCAATCCACCAACAAATGGATTATAAAGATAATCAATCATAATTTTCCACATCCCTTACTTACACAGGCACAATACCACACAAAATATTAAAGGGATAGTTCAGTCATTTACTCACTCTCATGTGGTTCCAAACTAGGACTGTACAATACTAGAAAATTACATGGGAAAAACTTCTAAGGAAAAAAAACTTTTAAATTCTGGCTGTTCATACATACTTTTTACAATAACCAACTCAAACCTATTTCAGTAACCATTTCAGAGTTTTTGTTTTGTTTGGTTTCTTCCATTTTCATAGGTTAATCATATAAAGCAACTGCGTTTATTCAAAAGACTGAGTAAACTATTTAATTAATATGGATTTCATATGTATTATATTGTCTTTAAGAACTTTTTGAAGCGTCAAAGTTTTGGTGGGATTGACATTTCCTTAAAAATATCTTCATTTGTTTTTCAAAGATCTTATGGGCTTGAAACATCTTGAGGGTGAGTAAATTATCATAATTTAAATTTTTGGGTTAACTATTTATTTAACATTCAATATTCAAACAACTAACACTTAAACTAATGTTGTAACTCTCACAAAATCTAGATCACCCATCTAAACATTTGTGTTCAGATCATCCGAGTCTGACATTAATCCTAGTCCTAAACGATTTCTTCATCGTTTGCACACTACATAGTTTAGTGTTCAACTATTTGCACTCATCGCACACACACACGATTCTCCATGCAGAAGCCAACACATACACAAAAATCACGCAAAAATGTCAGTGGATTGTGCTGCGGATGAAAACTATAATCACACAAAATGTCCACAAAATGGAGTGGTCAACAGTTAATCATGAGCGATAAGAAATCCTACAGTTAATCTAATGTTTGCACCGATCACGCCACCTTCAGTCTAGTGAAAATTACATTGGAAATGTCACTTTGTCCCAGATCTGTCTTTCTGTTCCCCGAACGCCTCATGCATCTTAGTGCAGCTGCTGTCAGCTACAAGAGCAACAGATATCCAACATCCCCAGACACGCACCATTAGCTTGAAATTTGTGAAAGGCAAGCTCTTTCAAAGCACACCAACTCAATCCCCACAAACTGGTGACTCAATGAAGCCACTAATGTCATAAACTGATATGTGACAAGCAGCTGATGTAAGACAAAAACATCAAGGTGGAACCAATATACCGCAAGTCTGAGGCATGAATAGACTTGTGACATATTCACTGAAGAATGCCAAAACTAACTTCACTGACTATCACTGCTCTGGGAAACGTTTGTGTGGTTCATACTGACACTCCCAAGAAACAGTTCAGCTGCACAGCATCAAACACTGTCTGGGATGAGGAGAAGGAGAGCCCAGTGCATCACTGTAAGGATTTTTTTCTGGTGTGGCATATGTGACGGGTGAGTGCTGTACCTGCCAGTGCAGAGTTCACATTACTGGATCCGTTCATGTGCAGAGGGATGGTTGGGATGCTGTGGAAACAGAAACATAGATACTTTAATGCACATACACATTAATGCATGATAACAAAAGCTTTTCACAATGACCTACACTCCCATTACGGAAGCTGTGTCATGTTCTTTTTATGATACAAAAGAGAGAGGGAATCGAGTTAGCTGAGATTCCTGTTGACGACCTATTAAAGATAAAATGAAAGCAAGATACGATCCAAGGAAATTCCCCAGCCTTCTCAAGCTGTCATGGTGTAATTCATGCTATGCCATCTGATATGTCTTTTAAACATACACTATCTTTTCAAAAGTTTAGGGTCAGTAAGATTTTTTTTTAGAAGCAATGAATGTTTTTATTCAGCAAGGATGCATTATATTGATCAAAAGTGACAGTAAAGACATAATATTTCAAAACGTTTCTATTTCAAATAAATACAATCTTATCGTATCTTAAAAAATGTATCAGTTTCCACAAAAACATTAAGCAGCACAACTGTTTTCAAAATTTTAAATAATAAGTCATATTTCTTAAACACCAAGAAATCAGCATATTAGAATGATTTCTGATGGATGATCAGACACTGAAGACTGGAGTAATGGCTGCTAAAAATTTTGCTTTGCCATCACAAAAATAAATAAATAATAATAATCACATTTTAAAACATATTAAAATAGAAACCACTGTAATAATATTTCACAATATTACTCTCTAACTATATGTATGTAGATAAAGCAAATACAGCCTTGGTGTTAATAAAGTAATTCTTTAAAAATATATTTTTTTAAATGTTACAGACCCTAAACTTTTGAACGGAGTGTACAGTATCTCACAGAAGTGAGTACACCCATCACATTTTTGTAAATATTTTATTATATCTTTTCATGTGACAACACTGAAGAAATGACACTTTGCTACAATGTAAAATAATGAGTGTACAGCTTGTATAAGTGTAAATTTGCTGTCCCCTCAAAATAACTCAACACACAGCCATTAATGTCTAAACCGCTGGCCACAAAAGTGAGTACACCCCTAAGTGAAAATGTTCAAATTGGGCCCAATTAGCCATTTTCTCTCCCCGGTGTCATGTGACTCATTAGTGTTACAAGGTCTCAGGTGTGAATGGGGCACAGGTGTGTTAAATTTGGTGTTATTTCGCTATCACTCTCTCATACTGGTCACTGGAAGTTCAACATGGCACCTCATGGCAAAGAACTCTCTGAGGATCTGAAAAAAATTAATTTTGCTCTACATAAAGATGGCGTAGGCTATAAGAAGATTGCCAAGACCCTGAAACTGAGCTGCAGCATGGTGGCCAAGACCATACAGCGGTTTAACAGGACAGGTTCCACTCAGAACAGGCCTCGCCATGATCGACCAAAGAAGTTGAGTGCACGTGCTCAGCATCATATCCAGAGGTTGTGTTTGGGAAATAGACGTATGAGTGCTGCCAGCATTGCTGCAGAGGATTTCTTGTTTTGTATTAGTTTTCATATCCAGTACTACTTTTGTTTTACTTTATTATCTTTTATGACTTTTATAATTTTGTTTATTTTGTTTTATTTTGTTCCTTTTTTATTTTATTTATTTTTATTTTTTAATTTTTTTAATCAGGATTCTCTCTCCCTTTTTCTCTCTCACTTTACCACTCACTTATTTAAATTTAGTTTAAACAGTGTTTGAATTCAAATTTAAAGTAAATTTCTGTATTCTAGCCATTTTTGTTCACCTACAGGTAACACTCCCTCTAGTGCTTAGTTGGTGAAGTGACAGTTGCCTCCACGGCGGGTCACAAGGTGCCACGGGATCCAAACTGAATCACCTCAAAACACCACTTAGCCCATAGAATACTAACCCATCCAGCTATCAAAACCCCAAAATCAGGTTGCTCTACAATCTTTAAGGTAATTAGCCGCTCCACAGGCGGCCACACTAGATGTTATGACCCAGCAGCGCCTTCTAGGCCCTGTCATAACCCCTAACAGCAGTAAAAGGCTTAAACCTGCTCTCTTCTCTATCTCTCCCTGTGTTTTGATTTGTTGGTTTGTTTGTTTTTAATTTTGTTCTGTTTTGTTTGCCTAGAGACCGAACCTTTGAAAATCATCAGGGAAGGCTGAGTAATAGATTGACGACCCGAGCTGCCAAAGTCTTTAGATGATCACGCTGTCAACAATCTGAGTTAGATCCATTCCGGTGCCGCCCCCCACAACAATTAGACACACCTCGCCATTTGCGACCGAGATAACAGGTGTCTGGTCTACGCTCACACTGGTCTAAAACTGTTTGTTTTCCTCAAGCAGACCGTGCATAAAACATATAATTACTATAATCGCAGCCTGTTAACGCCGTAAATACTTGCATTGGCCTTTTCGTGCTGTCCCTCTCTCCCTCTCTCTCTCTCTCTCTCTCCCTCTCTCTCTTCACCAGTGAGCCAGCATGTCTCGCTCATCCAGCCCTGATGCCCACTGGGATCGACTAGAGTCCTGGCTGAGTGCCATAACCGGTACACACCTGTCTGAAGCAGCCGGCGGCCTGCAGCACCTGAGCCGGGAACAGCTTGACGACAACCTGAGCGCCCTGATGTCACACGATCCGACACAGGACTACAGCCACAAAGATCTCACCAAGATCATCGGGCCCCTCGCCCACAACCTCCTCGCTCAGGCAAAGCTGGGAGAAACAAGCATCTCCCGCATGGAGCAGGAAGCAGCAGCGCTGAAGCTCCAGGCTGAGGGGGCTCAGAGAAACCTGGTGCTTGCTCAAAGTCAACTGGACCAGTTAACGTCGGAGACTCAGCACCAGCACAGGACGGCGGATGAAAAGGACCCAGAGCTGCAGGAGGAAGTAGAGAGACTCCAGAAAGCTTTAACTGATCTCCGTGTAGACACAACACGCCGAGAGCAGTGGGCGAAAGACACCAGAGAGGAACTAAGTGAAAAACTTCAGCGAGCCGAGGCTCTCCTGATGAGAGCAGAGACTGAACTCAAAGAGAGAGATGCTAGGGCCAAGGCCAGCGAAGGCCACCTGCAAAGTTCCCGGGTTGAAGTCAGTGCCCCGGCCCAACAAAGAGACTATTTAAAAGACGAACTTGATACGGTTCACCGAGAGCTTAAATATGCATATAGACTGCAAAGTGACTCTGAAAGGGAAATGCACAACACAGAATTTCCCCTAACCAGCAGATTGATACCAGCTAGTCAAGGGTTTCCAGTTCGAAAGGGGGGTGAGAGCCCACTGCTCAAGACATCACCTGCCAGCATCCCTGAACCCCCAGCAGCAGAAAGAGGCTGGGAGCCTTTTCAAAGGCTGTCTTCCAGTCACGGCGTGTCACCTAAAGAATTGGATAAGCTGGCTAGAAACATTCCCACTTTCACTCCAAACCCTGCAGGGGGCCACGATGTGCACGCCAACTTAAAAGACATTGACTTTCACATGCAAACTGTTGCCATTGTTACCACAAGAGACAGACTCTATCTGCTCCGAATCACCGCCAGCCGTGAGGTGAGGAGCTTTCTAGACCGGCAGCCAGAAACGGTCGAAGGGGATTACCAGCAAATGCAGCAAGCTCTGATTAAGGAGTTCTCTGACCCAGAGTCAGAGCAAGGACTGATTACTGCCATGGACCTTAAACAGGGCAGACAGGAAACCACACAGGCTTACTACAACAGGCTCAGACAGGCCTACTTCGGAGCACGAAACGAGCCAGGAATGGAACAGGATTTCAACTTCAAAACTCTGTTTCTCCGGAACCTGCACCCAACAGTGAGCCACCACTTGGGGGTTCTGGCTTGCCCACGGACTATGTCCCCTAAGCACCAGTATGAGCGCCCCGAGAGATCCTGGGACAGGTCACAACCACCCCTCAACCGGAGGGGTAGAGCCACATGGGAAGCCAAGAGACGGCCAAAGGGGAACTGACACTCACAGACACAACCACCGAGCTCGGACTGCCAGCAGCAGAACCCCTCTCAACAGGCCCTAGACAGGCCCAAATATAAACCATCCACAGAACAGAACCAGAAAGCTACATCTGAATCAGCAGAGATCATGAGACTTTTAAAGGAACTCCTCCAAGAAAAGCACCATAAGGAAAAGGAAAGGGATGAGTCAGACCAGCTATGACTAAGCATTAACTCTGACCCCAACACCCACTCAGAGTCCCCTCAAAATGAACTGCCCAACCAGATCACTGCTAATCCACTGTTAACCACAGAACCAGATATCTCATCACCAAGTGGTGACATCACTCAACCACCTCAGCTGACTGTGGAACCGCCAGAACCAGCCAACACCCCGCAACACACCTCCAGCCAGGGGTGGGGGGTCAGCCTGTCAGTGCTCAGACCATACGCCGCACACTCGTGAAGAGTTGATCTTCAGCGCTGGAAACAGCAGTACGGGCACACATATTTAAATACATATACATACACTCTTACCTCATTCCTAACCCTGCTGTTTAGCCATCAGAGAGCGGGTGCACACGTAATCTGGATGGCACACGGACCTTTCACACACTCTTTACCTCCTTTACAGTATACATACCCCGGATCAACCACACAGACACCATGTTGTTAGTTTGAAGTTTTATTTTTAGTTAGTTTTGTCTTGTGTGTGCGCGTAGGGAGTAGTCGGACTTCCACGTTGCGCCGGCCAAACCAAATGATCGAGCGACACCCTCTTATGACGTCACTGCCGCGCCGTGCCGGCGCAACGCGATCATAGTCCGACGAAACCATTGTTGTTTGTATGTGGGGAACTTTGTTGTCTTTTCGGTGGAGAGAAAAGATATTAAATGTTAACGATTTGTGTTATTAATATCTGTGTTTTATAATGGTTTATGGGTTTTGTGTTTTATAATGTGATTGATGTTTAATGTGAAGTTTATGAGTTAAAATGAGATTATAAGATTAAATGCTTACCTACTAGTGGTACCCTCCAGGTAGGGGGTGGACCCTGGCCTATAAGAAGGGAGGCCAGGTTCACATCGGGGGACTTGTTTACCAAGTCAGCGAGCATGCTACTG